CGCGGTTTGGTACAGGGGTAATGTTGTAATTACATATTGTGCCTAGGTTTACTCCTGGGGTTATAAATAGGCCTGTTAGTAACCCCAGGAGGTATCCTCTATTCTGTAACCTTTTTTCTGATTATTGAAAGGAACTCGCCGCTCTGCTCCCGAGGACGTAGGCATCTTTGCCGAACCTCGTTAAATCTCTGTGTTCTTCTGGATTTGTGTCGATTACTGTTCTTCTTCGCCCTAATTTTCTCAACAAGTTTTTACAAAGATGCCTCGTTCTCCGGAGCAGAGTGAGGATTTTCTTTAAATTCCAGAAAAAAATACAATATAATATATAATTATAAAATTATTCTTATACTGTACTGCGGGACGTTGCCCGCTGCACCCCAGCCCACATAATGAAAATATTACATAAATACATTAGAATTATGTGTTAAGTCTTCCTTTGAAGACAACTGTGCTAATTATAGTAAATTGCAGGTTTTTTAAACAGTATTTGCTGTTACTAGCACTCCATCAGGCAGCATCTGGACTGTTTCGTTTAATTGCTGCTTTGGGCAGAGATATGATTGTTGCAAATACTTTTGGGTTATTTGCACTTGTCGTCATGTTCGCGTCAGCTGGATTCATTCTATCACATGGTACATTCCTATGACTTCGAACTCTCAGTTAGATCATCTAGCTTAAGCCTGCCATTGGTCCTGTAACAGACCAATACTATCAAGGAAGATTCACGTACATGCCACTCAATTCCAATGTATTTACATATCTAACACCTATACGTCTTTTACATACATATCACTTTATGCATGAAAGGATGTATTTCACCTTTTAAAAGTTAAAATGGTGGTACTTTTTATGTGATATGAATGATTTGGATGGTATTAATGTAAAAGGTTTAGAGATTTGTAAATGTATAGGAACTGTGTGGTATGTATGTAAATGCCCGTAATATGTGAAGTTGATGTTCTCCCCCTCTTGATGTTTTGCCACTTTAATAGATGACATGAAGAAATGGTGGATATGGAGCTACTGGATCTCACCTTTAATGTACGCCAACAATGCTCTTGCAACAAATGAGTTCCTTGGGAAAAGCTGGAAACACGTAAGAATTGTCATACTGCAATACAACATTTTATTTGCTCTCCACAAGATGTACGTGAATCAATTATGAATGAGTTTGGAGAGTCATTTGGTTAACTGATACGTTGAACATGAATAACCTCAAGTTCATTAACAACTATATTTTGTTTTTATTCAGCTGGATATCAAAGCAAATCAAGTAATAATTATGCCTTGAATTACAATAAAATGATAAGAGTTTTTTGTAGTTAAACGCGATTAAATTTAAAGAGAGAAAATATTTTATTTGTAAAGCATGCAGAATTCCATAAAGAGCGTTGAATATGCTTTGAGTGTTTAAGAAATGGAGGCAGTCTTTGCTGGTGTTTTGTTAATAAAGAAAACTGCTGCCTAATAATTTAAGTTTAATATATAATTACCTATCCCATATCTTGATCACAACATATTTACCCGCTTGTTAATAATTGTGTTGCAGACTCTTTCTGGATCGACAGAACCACTGGGATTGGCCAGCTTGAAGTCTCGGGGACTGTTTACTGAAGCAAAATGGTATTGGATAGGCTTTGGAGCTTTGATTGGATGGACAATTCTATATAATATTCTTTTCACTTTGGCTCTTACCTTTCTGGAACGTAAGTACTTATCCAACAAAGTACTTACATAAAAATCTTCATACAGTCTTACATTTAATGGATTAAATTAGATGGACCATTCTTTCATATCTTTGCAGCATTTCGAAGATCCCAGCCAACCATCTCCGAGGAGGCATTGAAGGAGAAAGAAACAAAGATTACAGGAGAGCGAACTGAAATATCATCAGTAGCAGAGAGCTCTGAATGCTTCTCCGGATCTAGAAGTAAACGTAATGCTAAAGATTTGATGATTTCTATCTTTTGATGATAGTTATCACTTTTTTGTTAATGTTAAGAATTATAATAGGAAATAGTTTATTCTTATAAGAAGTTATGAGGAATAAATTATTTCTTTAATATAAAGAGATATTTCCTTTCCTATTTTATATTTATTTTCTTGAATTCAGAATTATTTATTTTTCCATTTTGTGTTATTTCATATATCTCCTAATAATTAATATGAATTAATTATTGGAGATATCAAGTGATATATCTTTCATTTCATATAATTTTCTTTTTATTATTTATTATTTTTCCTATTTTCCTATTATAGGATTTTTGTAAGGGTTATTTATACCCTCGTTCATATCAATGAAATAATATGTATTCCACATTATTCTGAATTTCAACATTGTATCAGAGCAATGTTTCGTATCCTAGCCATCGGTCCTCCTTTGAGAATTGTCGGACTCCCAGGGAGGGACACTCATTTTGATATTTGAAACGATGATTTTTTTTTCTTCTCCAAATCCCTAATTCCCCGCCGCCTCATTAGGTTACAGAATCCATGGAAAGAATCACAAAGATGCGCTCCCGTGAGTTTGATCTTGATGCTGCCTCGGAGTCTGAACCAGAGGCACTATCCCTATCGCTGTCTCCGGGTCCACGAATCGGCGTCAACCTCAGCAGCATGGTCGTCAAGCCTCCAGCCAACAATGGCGGTGGGAGCGATATTGACATCGGATATGACACCGATGATCGTCATCGCGGTTCTCCGCAAGATGTTCATCCCCGTGATTCACCGTCTTCCAGCCGACGTCGTGGGGGCTACTCGCAGCTGCATCGCCGGAGGTCCCCTAACGGACTCCGCCACCGTGCGCCCCAACCTGGTCTACAGTGTCGTGATTTTGCGATTGGTCTTCGACGGTGCGGGTCCTCTCTGGCATTCCTTCCACAGTCTCAAATGTTTCAGAATGATCCAGGGCACATACAACGTCCAGATTCTATTTCACCGCCGCACCGGCCAAGGGTGGATGATGGTTATTTTGAACCAGATTTTAGGCACCCTCGCGGACCACGTTTAGGTCGTGGAATGCGAGGGAGAGGAGGAGGTGGCAGGTTTCGCATCTTCTTACCCCCTACCTTTTGGAGGGGCGGCAGACCATACACGAGAGGGATCGATTCAACCACACATATAATGTCCTCGTATGGAGGAGAGTTCGTTCACATAAATGATCCAAATTTGTCACCAAGGGAAGTTGATTGGATATGCCAGAAACCGTCGTGTGAAAATTTGAATTTTGCACGACGAACTTACTATAGCAATTTCCACAATTTTCGATATGATGAACCACATAGATCGAGTCGTTGCACTCACAAGGGTTATGTTAGCCCCCCATCCGCACCGTAGCTTTTCACCCAAGTTATCAATTTCACCCATTAATCGTGTTCCACGACGTGTTCCACGAAGAATTTCAATGGATACATATCTGGTCATAGGAAGGGTAGCTTCTGTTTTGAGGAGTATCGGCTCTCGCCTTCGTCCTCGGCGTCTCCTACTCCATCTCCTCCTACCAACGCGGCTAATGTTTTGTAGGCTAGATTGCGATCAGAGAATCCTCCAGTCAGCATACCGCAGACGATGATGGAGATGAACCATCTGCATCGCACTCCTAACATTTCGGATCCAACTAGAAGCTTGTTGCCACCGTCATCGCCTAGAAAGGTACGGGCTGATGTTTTGGAGGATTCTCCTTCTCCGAGGTCTTTCAGAAAGTCGGGGGATCTTAGGGGATCTTACTTGGGGATCTTACTTCACTTTTGTACACGGCTCCCAAAAAACCATGAAGCAAATATGCTTTGGAGTTTGGTCAGACATCACCAGAAACCATCCAAAAACTTCATGTGTTGTATCCTCCTATGCCGGCACCAACGATGGGGCTCCAGCCAGAGCGACATCAGTGATGCCGCCACCCGCCTCATCATCATCTTGTCGGAGGTATTGCTGTCGGGGATCGAACAATGCCGGCAAAATCCATCGCCGACCCTCCTCATAGGCTTCTCGAATGGAATGACAGTTCACTTCAAGAGATATAGCACCCTCCTCATAGGCTTCTCGAATGGAATGACAGTCCACTTCAATGTGTTTCGTGTGTTCATGAAAAACGGGATTAGCAACAATCTGAATAGCACTAGTATTATCTGCATGAAGAGAAGTAGACTCAAGCTGAGGAAAATCAAGCTCAGCCAGCATGCCACAAAATCAAATGATTTCAGAACAAGCAAAGGGCATAGCGCGATATTCTGATTCAGTAGATGACTTAGATACTCTATCTTGTTTCTTACTCTTCCAAGACATTAAAGAGTTGCCGAGAAACATGCACCATCCAGTAATAGAGCGGCGTGTATCAGAACAACCAGCCCAATCAACATCACTATAGATTGTTAAGGTGATAGGAGACTTTGCAGAAAAGAACAAACCACGATAAGAAGTACCTTTCAAATATCGAATAATACGTCGAACTGCAGCTAAATGAAGATGTGTAGGTGCTTGCATAAATTGACTAACTTGTTGTACAGCAAATGAAATATCAGGACGCGTAATAGTCAGATAATTGAGACTGCCAACTAGTTGTCTATATAGAGATGGTTCAGATAGAAAGTCATCATCATTCTGTTGATATTTGACATTTACTTCCAAAGGGGTATCCGTGGAGCGACCATCTTGAAGATCAGCCAAAGCAATGAGTCCCTTTGTATAGTTGTGTTGATGAAGAAAAATACCAGCGGCAGAAGATTGAACCTCGAGTCCTAAGAAATAAGTTAATGACCCTAAATCTTTCATATGAAAAGAACCCTGAAGACGTTTCTATAGTTGAGACATCAATTGATTATCAGATCCTGTGATGACAATATCATCAACATATACTAATAACAAAACAATTCCCTTGTCAATCTTGTAAGGAAATAATGATGAATCATACTGACTTTGAATAAAAGAGAAGCTAAGAAGGGTATTGCAAAACTTTTCAAACCAGACCCGTGGAGCCTGTTTCAAACCGTATAGGGACCTTTTGAGCTTACAATCATCATGTGAAGGTGTAGAAAATAAGCCTGGAGGAGGAGTCATATAGACGTCTTCTTTGAGATCCCCATGTAAGAATGCATTTTTAACATCCATCTGCTTTAAGAACCAGCCTTTAGATGCAGCAATAGATAACATCAATCGGACAGTTGTCATCTTAGCCACAGGTGCAAATGTTTCGTCATAATTAATCCCGTATTCCTGTCGATTGCTAAGAGCTACCAATCTTGTCTTATGTCTGTCAAGAGAGTCATCAGATCGAAGTTTAAGAGAATAAACTCATTTACATCCAATGGGTTTAACACCTGTAGGACATGAAACAATATCCCAAGTGTGATTATCTTGAAGTGCCTGAAATTCCTCTTTCATGGCTTTGACCCAGCAAGTCTGTTTAGTAGCTTGAAAGTAAGAGGTAGGAACAGTAGAATTAGTTAAAATTGCAGAATACTCATATCTATCTGGAGGACGGATATGTCGGGTTGATCGTCGAATACGTATTGGAGCAATTTCTGGATCAGGGTCGGGGATGTTTGAAGGTGAAGGGGGCAGACGTCGTATGTAGACTATGTCTGGCTTGAACCTTTTATCAACAGAAGAATTATCAAATTGTGGAAGTATAATTGTATCTGATGTGGACACATGATGCTGAAAGTAATATTCATGTTCAAAGAAAATCACATTTCGAGAAATATGTCATCGACTATTAATCGAATCATAACACACGAAAACTTTATGATTAAAATTGTACCCCATAAAGGCACATCGTATTGACTGAGCTGCCAATTTATGACGTTCATACGCAGGTAGATGAACAAAGCAAACACATCTGAAAGTGTAGCGTATGATAATTAGGGTGTTTATCAAAAACTCGATAGGAGAGAGACTCATATTTCAATTGTTGAGATGATAAGCGATTAATGAGATAAACTGTAGTAGATAAAACTTCAGTCTAAAACAGAAGATTCTATCAGTAATGTGTGCACGGTATTTAATAGATGTCAATTTTTTCGTTCAGCAACTCCATTTTGCTGCGGTGAATAGGGACATGAACGTTGTGAAACAATCTCTTTGTTCTGGAGAAATGCTTGAAACTCATGAGACATGTATTCACCGTCATTGTCAGATCGTAATGTTTTAATGCGAGTGGAGAACTGAGTTTCAACATATGCTAAAAATGTTTGGAATACAGTAAATACTTCTGTTTTGGCACGTAAGAAATAGATTCAAGTAAATCGACTGTAATCATCAATAAATGTCACAAAATATCTATATTGAACATGTGAAACAACTGGTGTAATTCCCCAAACATCACTATGAATAATGTCAAAACATTTATTGGCACGACTGTCTGAACTAAGAAAATGTAATGTCTTGTTTTTTCCAAGTTTACAAACAGAGCAGTCAACTACTAAATTCTTATTTGTAAAACAAAAAATACCACTTTTATGTAAATGCTTCAACACTATATCATTTGGATGACCTAGTCTTTTATGCCGTATGTCTGTCTTATTCTCAACAACTGAAGATTCTAATGAAATATTTTGCGGAACAGTAAATTGCAATGGAAACAATCTACCCACTTTAAGCCCCTTCGCTATCACCTTCCCCGACACCTGATCCTACACAATACAACCATCACGAGAAAAATGTACTTTACAGTTATTATCCACAATTTGACCAACAGAGAGTAAGTTAGTAGATAAATTAGGAGAAACCAAAACATATTTGAATGATGAATTAATATCACCAAGTGTCGTAATTGAAATCCAACTGTCGTAATTGGAATATTATTTTCATTAGCAACCTGAATATGTTGAGTACTAGTGTATGGTCGTTGGTTATGTAATAACTCAGCAGTGCTAGTCATATGATTTGTGGCCCCTGAATCAACAAACCAAGGAAAAGTAATCGAAGAAATAGTTTTACCTTTCCCTTGAAGGCCGAGAGCAGAAAATGCAGAGAGAATCATCTGTTGAACCATATAGGGTGTGACAGTTGATTGATTATTGTCAGCAACAGTAGAAGTCGAGGCAGGATTGTCGGATACCATGGCATGAAGTGCTTATGGTTTGCGATTTTGGGGTCGTGTTGGGCATTCTGTAAGAGTATGTCCCTTTTGCTTACAATAATTACATACCTTATTTTCACAATTCCGTGCAATATGATCAAATTTCTTGTAGCTGTAGGACTGCACTGGCCCCTTCCTTTGGTCTTAGCATCATATGCCACATTAATTATTTCTGATGATCCACCTGTTGTACTGATAGTAGCTTGTGTCGTCAATCTTTGTTCTTCGCGCAATAATTGCCCAAAACAAATATCCAAACACGGAACCAGATCTCCGTTCAACAACCCAGCTCGAGCAATCTCAAATTCAGGTCTCAGTTTCATTAAAAACTGATCACGACGACTTTCTTCATGAATAACTTGAAGACTAGCTAAGTTTTCTTTTGACACTTTAGCATAGATAATACCAGTATATTCACTCCATAAATATAAAAAACTAGAATAATATTGTTCAATTAAAAGATTAATTTGACTATAATTATTCATGTCAAGTTCTAATTGGAAGTGTTTTGCAGAATTATCTTGATTATAAACGCGCTTCAAATATTCTCACATTTCTTTAGCTGTGCTAAAGGATCATAAATTGTTTACCATATGGGCCTCAATAGATATAATTCGAGCATCCTTTGCTTCCCATTGACCAAGATCTTTTGTCTCAGTAGGAGCTGGGGAAGATCCATCAATATGGCCCCAAAGCTCCTTTCCTTTCAAGAACATTCTGAGCTGAAATTCTCATGCGGTATAATTCTTTTCCGTGAATCTGATAGTTAAGATTTCAGAAGACATTTTAAATATATTAATCTTGATCAAAATATCCAAGATAAATAAAATTCAAAGGCAGATCGCGGCACGGAAGGAGCAAACGACACGGGAGCGAACGGCAGATCGCGACATGGCAGGAACGAGCGACGGATCGCGACAGGAGGATCGCAACAGATCGCGACAGGAGCGAACGACAAATACGAAGGGATCGCAGGAGCGAACGACAGATACGAACGGCAGATACGAAGGAGATCGCGGCAGGCGGATCGAAGGAGATTTCGACAGATCGGAGCGAACGAGCGACGAATTTCTTGTAATTGGAGTCGATCGGCTTGAAGCAGATGTCCGAAGATGCCGGAAGATAAAGATGCGGACGCAGCACCAGTCGTAAAACTCAGCACCAAAGGTCCGATCGAAGGGATTTAATCGGCTTGAAGCAACGGTAGAACTCAAACAAAGCCGACGAAGATGCCGCAGAACTCAAAGACAAGAACGAGCGCTCCGGTGAGGAAGCAGTCAAAGATGCCGGCTAAAGGTAAAAATAGCTAAAATTTCAAGAATTCAGACTCTGGTACCAAGAGAATATTTTGAGCAAATAGGCTGAATGTCTTTTCCTTTGCTTTCATTCCAATAAATAGTAGTTTGTACAATCTATTTTAGGTACATAATATTCAGTATATTTTAAATTAAGTAACTTAATTAATACATAATCATAATCTAAATAATTAGCTAAAAGAAAAGAATCTGTGTAAATATAATATTTCCCTCTTTGCAGTATTGCGAAGCAGGAAACTCTTTATTCTGTCTGATTTCTTTTATTCCTGATTGATACATGTGTTGTATCCTCCTATGCCGGCACCAACAATGGGGCTCCAGCCAGGGCAACACCAGTGATGCCGCCACCCGCCTCATCATCATCTTGTCGGAGGTATTGTTTTCATGGATCGAACAATGCCGGCAAAATCCATCACCAACCCTTCCTCCCACAATATTTTTTTTTCTTCCTTGCCAAAACGTCAGAGCGAGCTACGCTTCCAGCCGACCATTTCTCCTACAATATTTTTTTCTTCCCTGCCCAAGCGTCAGGGGGAGCTACGTTTCCGGCCAGTCATTTCTCCTGCAATTTTTTTCTTCTCTGGCCCAAGCGGCAGGAGGGACTCTATTTCCAACCGCCGTTTCTTCTGTTGCTTTCTCTGTTAGCAGAATTACTAGGTGTGATTTACATATTTTTTTTCTGTAGCCAACGACAGTCGCGGTCAACTAAGAGTCATTTTTCCTGTAGGTTGTCTCTTTCTTTCCCTGCAAAACTCAAAATTCAGTCAAGCCTGAATCCAACAAATTCAGCCAAGTCTAAATTTCTCTTCTACGCCGAAACATATGGCAGACAAAACGCAAAATTCAGCCAAGCCTGAATCCAACAAATTCAGTCAAGCCTGAATCTAGCAAATTCGATAATCTAAACAACCAATGTTTCTTCACTACTCAACAAGTTAAAAATTATTAACATACATTCCAAACTTAAAGCTTGAGGGGGAGTGTTAAGAATTATAATAAGAAATAATTTATTCCTATAATATAAGGAGATATTTTATTTTATATTTTATATTTATTTCTTTGGATTCAGAATTATTTATTTTTCTATTCTGTGTTATTTCATATATCTCCTAATAATTAATATGAATTAATTATTGGAGATATCATGCGATATATCTTTCCTTTCATATCATTTTCTTTTTATTATTTTTTTTATTATAGGATTCTTGTAAGGGTTATTTATACCCCCGTTCATATCAATGAAATAATCCGTATTACTCCTTATTTTGAATTTCAACAGTTAAAACTTACCAAATTAAGATTGGAACAGAGAATGAAAACAGGACTGGAATTGACAATGAAGAGGCAGTCGCAGAGTCCAAACTGAACAAGAAAGGAAGGGCCCTTCCTTTGGCACCAGTGTCCATGACATTTGATAATATAAGATACTCAGTAGACATGCCACAGGTAATTTACTTATAGTGTATTTTTAATCTGTAGCTTGGTGCATAACTTGCTTATTTATCTAACAAATCCAGTAAAAATGTACGCTTACAGGACATAAAGGCACAAGGTGTTCAGGAAGACCGATTGGAACTTCTAAGGGGTCTAAGTGGATCTTTTAGACCAGGTGTGCTGACAGCTCTTATGGGTGTAAGCGGCGCGGGTAAGACAACATTGATGGATCTGTTGGCTGGAAGGAAAACTGACGGATATACAGAGGGGAGCATATTGATAAATGGGTACCCAAGAAAGCAAAAAACATTTGTTCAGATGTTAGGATATTGTGAACAAAATGATATTCATTCCCCTCATATAACAGTTTATGAATCTCTGATCTTTTCTGCTTGGCTCAGATTGCCGGTTGAGATAGATTACTCTGAGAAAATGGTTTGTTGAATGAAATCCCTTATTTCGTTGTAAACTTTCTTTAACATTATTTGCATGAACTAAGATAACATTTTGTGGCCATAGATGTATATAGAAGACGTCATTGAGCTCGTGGAACTTGCTTCTGTAAGGGAGGTACTGGTAGGATTGCCAGGAGTAAATGGTTTGTCAGCTGAACAACGAAAGAGGCTAACAATTGCTGTTGAGCTTGTTTCTAATCCTTCAATCATATTCATGGATGAGCCTACCTCTGGGCTTGATGCAAGAGCTGCAGCAATAGTTATGAGAGCAGTAAGGAATATTGTAGACACTGGCAGAACTGTGGTGTGCACAATTCATCAGCCTAGCATTGATATATTTGAAGCTTTTGATGAGGTAGAGATTCAAGAATTTAATTAACTCATTCATTACATCATAATCACTAGTTGTCTTATCCCAAATATTTGAGATTGATTTTATGGATCCGTGTTTTCGTTTATTTCTATTGAGTGTTATTTGAATTGTTAAACCTACTCTTTTCAAGTCATTTTGAAGAACTTTAACACAAATCACCCTAGTTCTACCTTTTTCTCCTTAATCCTCTAAAAGCAAAATGAACTTTTGCTTTATAATTTCTATTTTTATTTTGTCTTTCAAATTGAACAGCTATTTCTGATGAAGAGAGGTGGCCAAGAAATTTATGTAGGGCCATTGGGTCATCATTCTTGTCATCTAATTGAATACTTGGAAGTAAGCCCCTTAAGCTTCATGTTTAATCTGCCTTTTCTAAAATCTGTGAAACAATCTAAGATTTTACTTTATCAGGGAATTAATGGAGTGAGCAAGATAAAAGATGGCTATAATCCAGCAACATGGATGTTAGAGGTGACCACAAGGGCACAAGAGGAAATATTGGGTATTGATTTCAGTGATTTATATAAGGACTCTGCATTATTTCAGTGAGTTGTCTCCATAGATTTTTAATTTCTATCTTTTGTTGGAGAAAGCATCTGCTGTAATTGTTGAAGGATCTAATTCAAAATTCAAAATTCAAAATTCAAAATTCAAAATTCAAAATTCAAAATTCAAAATTCAAAATTCAAAATTCAAAATTCAAAATTCAAAATTCAAAATTCAAAATTCAAATTACAATATTTATTGTCTTTCCTTTTCTACAGATATTATTCTCCTTCCTTATTTTTTATCTTGCTTAATTAGTCTTGGAATGTAATAGGAATTTCTTTGAATTTATTTAGTTAGTTTCCTTATCTAAGGAGGAGAGACTCCTATATGTAAATGCACCTTGAATTGAATCATTAAGAAAAAATAAAATTTTCTCTTCAATTTCTGGTTTTAGTTTGATTTGAGGTTGAATTGACATCTTATCTTTTTTTTGTATGATTTGTGAAATTACGCTTTGGGTGTTTGCAATGGAAAATGTTTGTGATCTGGTAATCTGAATAAGCTTCTTGTGAAAGTTTGGCAGTTTACATGATGATTTAATGCAACGTTTCTTTTTGTCTGTAGTAGGGATGCGCTTATATATAAGCTGGTGTTTGTGAGGACCTGCTTGTATCTCCACGGTAAACCTGTAGACTGAAAGCCAAGAAACAAGAGCAATCCACCTACTGTTAATGTTGTTGCCGAACAAACCAACCCATTTAACAAAGAGCAAATCGATCAACTCCTGAAACTGCTAAACCCCAGTTTGGCTACTGGTACCCCAACTTGTTCAATGGTACATGCAGATAGACAACTAAACCTTGGATTATTGATTCAGGAGCTTCTGATCATATGACAAATTTACACTATATATTTCATTCATACATCCCATGTTTTGGCCATGAAAAAATTTGTATTGCTGTCGGTAGTTTCTCTTCCATTGCTGGAAAAGGAAACATTAACCTGTCTAAGAGTATAGGTCTTAAATCTGTACTCCATGTTCCAAAATTTAAATGCAATCTTCTATCCGTCAGCAAACTTTCAAAAGATTCTAACTGTCGTAAAATTTTCAGTGAATCCTCTTGTGTTTTTCAGGATTAGAAATCGGGGATGATGATTGGGAGAGCTAAAAAGATAGGAGGACTTTACTATTTTGAGGATACTGTTCTTGGTAAAAATAAGGTTGAAGCTTACAGCATTATGAGGTCGAACCCTGCATTAGAGAAAATAATGGAATCGCATCTTAGACTAGGCCATTCAGGTTTTTCTTATTTAAAACATTTATTTCCAAATTTGTTGAAGGGTGTTAATTGTGTTTTACTTCAATGTGAAACATGTTATTTGGCACAAAGTCATCGCATAAATTTTTCTCCAAAACCATACTCTCCTTCAAAGCCTTTTTACATGATCCATAGTGATGTTTGGGGACATTCAAAAGTCAAAACATTATCTGGGAAAAGAGGATTTGTGACGTTTATTGACGATCACACCAGAATATGTTGGGTTTATCTTATAAGCAAAAAATCAGAAGTTGAAAAACTTTTTAAAGATTTTTACAACATGATTGAAACTCAATTTGAAACTAAAATATGCATTCTTAGATCTGAAAATGGAACTGAATATTTTAATGAATGTTTAGGGGAGTCTAAAATATACATTCTTAGATCTGACAATGGAACTGAATATTTTAATGAATGTTTATGGGAGTTCTTAATAAACAAAGACATAATTCATCAATCTACTTGTCGTGTCACTCTACAACAAAATGGAATTGCTGAAAGAAAAAATAGACATTTACTTGAGGTTGCTCGGGCTATCATGTTTTCAATGAATGTTCCAAAATATTTATGGGGGGACGCTGTTTTAACATCATCATATTTAATAAACTGAATGCCACCTCGAGTTTTACAATATACAACTCCTCTAAATAAACTGAAAAACAATTTTTTAAGTCTATGAATGTCTTCAAATATTCCTTTAAAAGTCTTTGGATACACATGTTTCGTTCATATTCCGAATAATTGCCGATCAAAATTGGATCTAAAATCTGAAAAATGCATTTTTCTTGGATATGTCTCAAACAAAAGAGGTTACAAGCTACAAATGCCTTAATCCTGTCAAAAAAAAATTTACATTAGTATGAATGTGACCTTCATGGAAAGAATTCCCTTCTTTCACAAAAATTCACTTCAGGGGGAGTATAATATAGATGGAGAAGATGGTTTTTGGCAAGTTTATAACCCATTACCAAAAATTGTTGCAACATCAAGTACACCTGAGGTCTGTGAAAACAAAGAACCTGAAATAGTTGTTAAAAATAAGGAGAACCCTAGTCAAGGGACACCTGGAAGTATCTTGTCTAATACAGGGGGAGAAATATCGCATAATACAACAGCAGAACCTCTTGTTTATTCTGGGGAGAGGCTCCATAAAAGAAAAAAAGTTCAAACTGAATCTTTAGCTCCCTCCCAATCTGAAGAACCGAATGATGGTCCTCAAGAAACACAGGTAATTTCTGATCCTGATCTTATTTTTTCACCAACAGAAGCTCAAGATTCAGAGATTATGAATCTGGATCTTCCTATAACCTTTAGAAAAGGAACACGTTCTTGTACTACCAAATATCCCATTTTGAAATGCCTATCCTACAAAAAAATCTACACAAACATCAAACTTTTTTGTCAAAAAGTTCTAATCTGTCTGAACCTAGAACAATACAGGAAGCTATTAGTAATCTAAATTGGAGAATAGCAGTAAAGGAAGAGATTGATGCTCTTTTGAAAAATGGGACCTGGGAAATTGTCACTCTACCAAGAAAGAAGTCTACTGTTGGGTGTAAATGGGTCTTCACTATTAAATTCAAAGCTAATGAGAGTATCGAAAGATATAAAGCAAGATTAGTAGCGAAAGGATTCACTCAAACTCATGGAATTGACTATCATGAGACATTCGCTCCGGTAGCCAAGATCAATTTTATTCGGATTTTACTGTCCATAGCAGCAAACTGTAATTGGCCCTTGCATCAGCTCGACGTCAAAAATGCTTTTCTAAACGGTGAATTAGAGGAAGAGGTATTCATGGATCTTCCACCAGGATTTGAGAAGAAGTTTGGAGAAGACAAAGTGTGCAGATTAAAGAAATCCTTGTATGGGCTCAAACAATCTCCTCGCGCCTGGTTTGAGACGTTTGGAAAGGTGATTACAACATATGGATACACTCAGAGTCAAGCTAATCATACTATGTTCTACAAACATTCAGAAACTGGTAAACTCGCTATACTCATTGTTTATGTAGATGATATTATCCTTACAGGAGATGATGCTAGGGAAATTGAGAAATTAAAAGAAAGATTGGCCACGGAATTCGAGATTAAAAATCTGGGAGATGTAAAATACTTTCTTGGTATTGAGTTTCCCAGATCTAAGGAGGGGATCTTTATTAATCAGCGAAAGTATGTACTCAACTTACTCAGTGAAACTGGAATGCTTGGGTGCAAAACAACTGAAACTCTGATTGAACCAAATAAAATGTTACAAGTGACAAATAAAATAGATGATATCAATAAAAAATAATATCAGAGACTAGTGGGAAGACTAATTTACTTGTTACACACTCGTCCTGATATAGCATTTGCTGTTAGCATGGTAAGTCAGTTTATGCATTCTCCAAATACTCATCACTTGGAGGCTGTCTATCGGATCCTTAGGTATCTGAGAGGAACACCCGGAAGAGGACTACTGTTCAAGAAAAATGAGCACTTACAGGTATAAGCATTTACAGATGCAGTTTGGGCTGGAAGTGTTACAGATAGAAGATCAACCTCAGGGTACTGCACGTTTCTAGGAGGGAACTTAGTAACCTGGAGGAGCAAGAAGCAAAGTGTCGTGGCAAGAAGCAGCGCTGAAGCTGAATTCAGATCTATGGCTCATGGGATATGTGAAGTTCTATGGATTAAAAGAATTCTCAAGGAGTTAAAAATTCATAGTCCACCACCAATAAAGGTGTACTGTGATAATAAGTCTGTTATCGCCATCGCCCACAATCCTGTCCTTCATGATTGAACAAAGCACGTAGAAATAGACAAACACTTCATCAAAGAAAAAATTGACAGAGGAGATATATGCATGGTGTATGTTCCTTCCAACGACCAAGCAGCGGATATTCTAACAAAGAGTTTTCACAAAAAGCAGTTCGACGGTTTAATATGCAAGCTGACTCTGAAAGATATCTTCATGCCAACTTGAGGGGGAGTGTTGAAGGATCTAATTCAAAATTCAAAATTCAAATTACAATATTTATTGTCTTTCCTTTTCTACAGATATTATTCTCATTCCTTATTTTTTATCTTGTTTAATTAGTCTTGGAATGTAATAGAAATTTCGTTGAATTTATTTAGTTAGTTTCCTTATCTAAGGAGGAGAGACTCCTATATGTAAATGCACCTTGAATTGAATCATTAAGAAGAATTAAAATTTTCTCTTCAATTTCTGGTTTTAGTAATCTTACAGTTGATCGCATGCTATAATGTAGGAGGAATAGATCTTTGATCATGGAGTCAAGCGTACCTCCCCCTGAATCCAGTGACGTTCACTTCCCAACCCAGTTCTCGCAGTCTTTCGTTTCACAGTGCTTGGCTTGCCTGTGGAAACAAAACCTTGCATACTGGAGGAATCCTCCATACACTGCAATGAGGTATTTCTTCACCTTGGTCATGGCCTTGATCTTTGGCTCAATGTTCTGGGATCTTGGCCGCAAAGTGTAAGTTTAACTTTAATTCAGTATCGCCCAAGTACTTCTCATATTTCAATTCTATACTTTTGCATGCATTATAATAATGAATTTATAATAATAGGAACACAAAACAAGACTTATTCAATACAATGGGTTCAATGTATGCTGCTGTTATGTTCATTGGGGTGTCAAATGCCTCGTCTATTCAACCAGTGGTGTCAATTGAGCGAACAGTCTTTTGCAGGGAAACGCAGGAATGTACTCAACTTTACCATATGCATTTGGACAGGTGACATTTCTTACAATGCCAGAAAAAATAGATACCAAAGTTTTATGATACCACATAAATCTTTAATATCACTTCAAAGATATCAAGATCACTATGGTTTTAAAAGTAAAATATTCATCTTGATGTATTGGTTTATGACACCAAGATGTTATAAGAGTTAATATCAAACTTTGGTGTTAGACATGTAAATATATAAGAAATGAATGGTATTTATGTAGATTTTCCGAGTTTTAAGTGTTACTATAATATTGTTTCTACTGAATTTGTAGGTTGCAATTGAGATCCCATATGTATTGGGTCAGACTATCATTTATGTGGTCATAGTCTATGCAATGATTGGATTTGAATGGACAGCTACAAAGTTCTTTTGGTTTTTGTTCTTCACGTTCTTCACATTTTTATACTACACATACTATGGGATGATGTCTGTAGGCTTTACACCCAATCTAAACGTAGCTTCAATAACATCTGTAGCAGCTTATAGTATATGGAATCTTTTCTCGGGGTTTATTATTCCTCGGCCGGTAAGTTGTAATTTCTAGATATTTTTTGTTTAGTTTAATGAGAATGGAATTAAAAAATAAATAAAATAAATAAATAGTTTTGTTTTCCTTAGATGATGCCTGTATGGTGGAGATGGTATTTCTGGGCATGCCCAATTTCGTGGACACTTTATGGATTAGTTGCTTCGCAGTTTGGTGATATAGAAGACAAGCTCGACTCTGGTGAGATTGTGTCTCAATTTCTAAAAAGTTACTTTGGTTTCAGACATGACTTCTTGGGCGTGGCTGCCGCTGTAATTGTTGGGTTTCCGGCACTCTTTGCCTTCATGTTTGGATTTTCAATTAAAGCTCTAAACTTCCAAAGAAGGTGAAGGAATTCATGAAGTCCTAAAAGATGCCCTGGTGCTAGGAAGTTTAAACATATTCATTTTCTTAATATTCTTCCTCAAGAAGAATGAAAAGTTCTCGGAGGGGGTAATAATGAAGGGAAGGATATATTCTTTCCTGATCTATATATGAATAAGAAAATATGCTCATGACTATGTTCCTCCATGTACTTAGTTTGGGCATCAGTTTAGTGTAGAGAAGTTAAGATGGATGTTGAGAGGTGTGATTGATCTTTGTCAACCATTCAAATGTAATAGTGCAAATATAAAACTTTACTTGGTGGATGTAATGGGGAGACATATTATCACTTTATATTTATTATTCCATCTCCAGTATAGAATGAGATTATAGGGAAAATATATTTATTTTGTAATGTCTGTTTGTCTTTTGGACTATCTGGTCAATGTCCAAATGTTTTTTCTTACAAAGAGACCCATTATTTTTTTTCTCGGTAAGCTCTCACTTGACAGAATTATTTACCCGTATGACTTGATTATAACACTCTGGCTCGACTTTATCATTAAACAACTTGTATTAATGAGAATGAAATTCATAGTTAGTCATCTAGTGAGTTCTTCATGACCTTCGACTTGTGTCGTAAGTGAGTCAGACTCAGGCTGATCCTAAATTTCATGTTTTTTTTTCGGTATTTATTCTTGGACAAGTAGTTCCTTTATTTTAGCATTCTCTTAGTGGAGGTTTTTTTGGTATGTTTGTCCTTATATTATAAAACTTTATCAAAGATAGTATTGAGCTCGTCTCTATTATATATAATAAAATAACGCATTATAGATTTTATCCCTCACAAATTTATCCATGTAAGTATATTATAATAGCTAAGAAAATCAAATATGGCATACATCCTATCCTGTCAAATTTCCTTGAGAACCCCAAAATTGAGTGTGATTCATGATCTTGAATTGATTAGATATGTTACTATGTTCACGTCCTTAAAATTTATAAGAAATGTATGCATGCAAGCTCATGCTTATATTCGCCCGCAGAGAATTTTATTCATTCTCTCAATTACTTTATTTTTCTTATAAAGTTTGAGATCATTCTCTACATAGTGATCGTGTATGTTTTTGTTGTTGATGAGATGGAAACTAGGAATTTGATCAATTGACAATCAAAATTACATCACAGAAAAAACATACTGATTCGAGATCCAGAATAAAATTAGAACAAAAGCACACAACAAAGAATCTAAAAAATGACACCAAAATTTATAACAACTTTTTAACTTTTTATAGCATCATGTACAGGCTTGGAAATATCTTAAGCAACTCTTTGACCCTAGTGACTTTGGTCTTAATTTGGTCTCACTTTGCAATTTTTTTTCACAAATTCTTTGACAATTTTTTCTTGGATTCATAAAGAGCACATCGGGTATGAGGCTCAACTTGAAGCAAGTTATAATTTATCTTTTAGTAAAAGAGAAGACAAGATAAAAATTACCAATTAAAACTACAAATACAAATGAAATCGAAATCAAATAAAGTGAAATTCCATGAAGAACAAAAAATTGAAAAATCACAAAAATAAATCATAAAGTAGAATCAAAATCAAATTCAAACGGATTAAATCACAAATAAAAAATATTAAAATTAAAATCAAGTTCAAATACAAGAAATTATAAATTAAAATCACAAAAGCAAACTAAAACCCTTCAAAGTCAAATCAAATTTGAAATCAAAGAAGTACAAAGTAAACTAAATTAAAACCAAAATGAAAACTACATGAAAAAAATAATTATAAAAATTAATTCACCAAAATCAAAATTTAAATAATACCAAAATTAAGTTCACTAAAATCATAAAAAATCAAATTAAAACTAAATTAAAGTCAAATAAAAATTAAACTCACCAATATCATAAACCAAAATCTGCATACCTTCTAGGTTGGTTATATTGTAGTATAGTGACTAAATAGAGCAGGAATCACATCCACTCGAGAGCTAATCAAAGTGATCGTATCAGAAAGGAAGAAGATGGGATTTACATTGAACCTGAGATTTGAGCATATCACAGAGCCTGAGTATGCAAGGAGGGAAAGCTCTCGGACTTATATCCAACTTAGAAGGTATATTGACTAGATCAAGCAGGAACACCAAGAGGCTCACATCCATTCAAGAGCTTTTCAAGGCGATCATATCAGGAAGGAAGACACTTAGATTTACATCCAATCTGAGATATGATTAAGACACAAAGCCTAAGTATGCTTGGAAAGAAGGCCCTAGAACATACATCCATCTTATAAAGTATAGTAACTAAATCGATCAAGTATGTCAATGGGCCCACATCCGCTCGTGAGCCAGTCAAAGTGATCATATCAAGAAGGATGGCTCTGGGATTTATATCTAACCTGAGATCTGATCAAGGCACGGAACCTTAGTATTCATTCAATAAATTTATAAGTAATTACTCATTATTCCTTCTAGGTTTGATGTATGCCCTAAAAGCTTTCCTTCCTAGCATACTAAGGAAATATTTATAAGTCATTTCAGTTTCATAATTTATAAGTAATTATTAATAAAAAGATAGAAATACTAAAAGGCACGGAACCTTAGTATACATCAAACTTATAAATTTATTGAATGAATATAGTAAATATATTTATATTTATTAATTAATAGTTAAATAATAAATAAATTTATTTAACTATAAATAATCTGATAATATTTTAATTAAGTATTAATTATTAATCATTTAAATTAATAAATTAACTTAAATAAACTAAAATGAAGAAAATAAATACATTACTCCTTTCTCTCCCCGAAACCCTCGCCGACTCCTTCCCGAAACCCTCGCCTGTGCCTGCCCCCTTCTCTGGCTTCGTCCAAAACCATCGCCGAACCCTCGCGATACAGTCACAATTGGAGCTAGCTGGGAACGCAACGACGGGATCGCGGCTTACAGAGACCCGAAACTCCCATTTTTTTCCTCCTGCTCCTCTCCTACCTGAAACCATTGAGGAAGGTAACTTCACGTATTTTTTCTTTTTTTTTTTCGCTCGAAGCGTCCGTCCCGGATTTACTAAATGCACCGATTCACTTCCCGGGATTATATAATGATTGAAATCACTTGATTATATTTACCCTAGAACATCTGGGCCACTCTGTGATTGTTTGTGCTCTGTAGATTTATAAAGGGGTTATTTGACATTTTGTTGCCGTTCTTGTTGGCATGCATCTGGAACATTCACTAAACATTGTTCAAGTGCATGATTAAGTTTATGTTCTTTAATCTCTAGTTTATCCTCTTTGAGAACATTCACTAAACATTGTTCAAGTGCATGATTAAGTTTATGTTCTTTAATCTCTAGTTTATCCTCTTTGAGAACATTCACTAAACATTGTTCAAGTGGATGATTAAGTTTATGTTCTTTTATTTCTAGTTTATCCTCTTTGAGTTAAGAGGATGTCAAACTGACAGATAGCCGGATTGCACTGTTTGGCTTTTAGATGGAGACACGAACTGCATGAAAGTCATTTCAGTTTCATCATCATCATTAGAATTTACCTAACTATTTTGGTTGTTTTGTGTATCCTCTGTTCATGTTTATAGGGCTATGTGACATGTTCGTTCTGTTTATTTCAATCTTTTTGCATAACTTCTATTCATATTATATCTATTTTGTTCTTCTTAGGGGAAATTCGTTTAAGGTCATTGAGTTGACTTTCACCTACTTTTAGTCTTCTAATTAATTTGCATGAAATCCAATCCAGTTCTAAATTTCTAATCGCATCGAGTAATGATTTGTGGTCATTGAGTTGACTTTCACCTTTTTTCTCATTACATGCATGCCATCAGCTCTTGCTATTGTTTGTAAATATGGATATTTGGGTTTGAGAAATGTAAATACATGAAAATTGTGTGCTACATATGTAAATTTCTCTTTTTTTAACACCTTTCTAATGCATCCTTATACTTTCATTTGCAGGTATAAGGTTATCTGATTCAAGATATATATCAACAGAATGGTTCAGTACAACTTCAAAAAGATCACCATTGTTCCTTCGGGAAAGGAATTTGTCGATATCATTCTTTCACGAACTCAACGCCAGACTCCAACTGTCGTGCACAAGGGATATGCCATTTCACGCCTCCGACAATTTTACATGAGGAAAGTGAGATTCACCCAGCAAAACTTCCATGAGAAGCTCTCCACCATCATCGAAGAGTTCCCTCGATTAGATGACATTCATCCATTCTACGGGGATCTGCTCCATGTCCTCTACAACAAGGATCACTACAAGCTTGCCCTCGGCCAAATCAATACTGCAAGAAACATCATTGGAAAGATTGCGAAGTATTATGTTCGGCTGCTCAAATACGGTGACTCTCTCTATCGATGTAAGTGCTTGAAGGTAGCCGCTCTTGGTCGAATGTGCACAGTTATAAAGCGGATTGGGCCTAGTTTAGCTTACCTAGAGCAGATCAGGCAACACATGGCTCGGCTCCCTTCCATAGATCCCAACACTCGAACCATCTTGATATGCGGATACCCGAACGTGGGCAAGAGTTCATTCATGAATAAGATCACAAGGGCCGATGTGGACGTCCAGCCTTACGCTTTCACTACGAAATCACTCTTCGTCGGTCATACAGATTACAAGTACTTAAGGTATCAGGTGATTGACACTCCTGGGATTTTGGATCGACCATTCGAGGACCGCAATATTATTGAAATGTGCAGTATCACTGCATTGGCACATCTTCGATCTGCTGTTCTGTTCTTCCTCGATATATCTGGATCATGCGGATACACCATTGCTCAACAGGCGGCATTATTTAATAGCATTAAGTCACTCTTCTTGAATAAGCCTCTTGTCATTGTTTGTAATAAGATCGATTTGCAGCCCCTCGATGGTCTTTCTGAGGAAGATATGAAGCTGGTTATGGATATGAAAGCAGAAGCAATTAAATCTGTCTTGGCCCAAGGTGGTGAACCTGATGACGAAGGGGTTTTGCTGACTATGAGCACCTTGACTGACGATGGTGTTATTTCTGTTAAGAATGCTGCTTGTGAGAGGTTGTTGAATCAGAGGGTGGAGATGAAGATGAAATCTAAGAAGATAAATGATTGCTTAAATAGGTTCCATGTTGCGATTCCAAAGCCTCGTGATAACAAAGAGCGGCCTCCTTGTATTCCTCTGGCAGTTCTAGAGGCCAGAGCGAAGGAGAATGAGAAGAGGGAGAACAGGGAACTCGAAAGAGATCTTGAGAATGAGAACGGTGGCGCTGGTGTATACTCTGCTAATCTTAGGAAACATTATATTTTGGCCGAGGAGGAGTGGAAGGAAGACATTATGCCAGAGATCTTAGATGGGCATAATATTTATGATTTTGTGGATCCCGACATCTTGCAGAGGTTGGAAGAGTTGGAGAGGGAAGAGGGGCTTCGGAT